CATGAACATCTTCAGATCGTTCCATGAATGCATTCCCTCTATACTTCTCCTATTCTTAATTCTCCACTCTACCATATTAAGTTCCCATCCCCAGATACATAAATAAGATATAAAATTGAACCTGATTGAATAATAGAACTGTTTGAGTTGGAAAGGACCCTTAAAAGTCCCCTGCAATGAACATGGACATCCACAGCTAGACCAGGTTGCTCAGACCATGGTGCAGCCTGACCTTGAATGTCTTGAGGGATGGGTTTTCCCACCACCTCTCTGGGCAACTTGTGCCCAGCAGCTCACCAGTCTTACTGCCTCCTCTTGCTACACAGGAACTTGCCCAGATTTCCTAAGAGCTGTTACTCACCAGACTTTCAACAGGAGATTCTGAGCTTAACAGGTTCAACATAAAAATGAGCATAAAGGGACTGCAGAACAGCATAACTTGATCTTCCTGACAGTCTTGGTCCAGCAATCAGGAAGTCCCATGTGTTAAGCTGTCTGAGAGCAAGATGGTCATACTACTGAACGACTTGGGTGAAACTAGGACAAATGGATCTAAAAAAAGGAAGTACTGTCAAGAGGACATCGACCACAGATTAGACACACACTACTTTCCAAAGGATGTGTGACAGCATGCATCAGAAGTGAACAACTCTAGAGTGGAATCACTGGCACTTCCTGTTTTGATCAGCAGATAGAAAAGAGGACACGGATTTCTGGTTACTCCACTCCTGGAAAATGCTATGAGCATACTGACCTGCATTTCCCATTTGTGGTTTGAGTCTGAAGTGGCTGAGCCTGTTTGCTATAGAATTAACTCCTAGCCAATAGTTTGCTGCCAAGAAAATTCAAAGACAACTACCCCAACCTTTTAGAATAATTGCTTCCTTATTCAACAGAGGAGATCTTGATGATTAATAAGAAAACCATTGCAAGAAAAACATCTCATAACTTCAAGATTTTGTTCTGAAACACCTGACGTGATCCTGGCTACTAAATGAAGAATCTCCATCACGAGATGAAATAGCCCTATCACCACCAGCCCGGGAGGGGAAAAAGGTGACTCTACAGGCAATAGAAGCTGAAAAATAGGAATTTATTCCAAAACTGTCAACTGAAGTTGCTGGTTAAGCATCACTAGATCAGAGGTCTTTAATCTTCTTCTAGTTATTGCCTCCTAAAGGCAAGATGAATTAAGGGAGTATTTTAAGGTTTAATGGAAAATACATATTGAAGTAATCCAAGTTGTTTTCAACACCCTGAAGAAAAACTAATCACACAAACAAAATCTTTATATGAAATAAAGAGACAACATGACATAGGAGACTAGTTGCAGAAGGTAACTAAGAACGTACGGCCATATTGATTAAGTGCAGTATACCATGCCACATTTCTCCATTTACATCATGCAAATGCTGAAGACTTGCACACATTCACAGTTACAATCAAGAAGTAGGTATCTACCCTACTAAGTAAACGCAAGAGAATTTTACAGAGCCCCAAAAATAAGGTACAGCTACCAGAAGTACAAGGAAATGCCATATTAAAAAGACATTCTGCATTAAACACAGACCAAAATAAATGAGGATTATTCCTCATCTTGAGAGGTCAACAGCTGTCAGAGATGCATGACATGCTTCACTGAACCTTAACACAGAGGAGATAGCCAAAAAGATTTAATCACAAATTGGTATACCACTTAGGAAGTGACAAATGAAGTTTTAGATGATAACATCATCTTTTTCACAGCATAAATTTACAATTAAAGCATTCACTTTCACAGGGTTTTGTGGGTGTCAAAATGCCCCCGCCAAAAATTCAACTGAAAGCACTTTATGGTGTGAAATGCAACACTACAGGCTGATCTCACTTAGGGAGTAAATTGGCTGACCAACATCTGGGATGATACACTCCATCTAAAGCCAGTATTTATATTCTTTCCCTCTTTTGGCTTTAGTAACCTTGATTTCTCATCTTTTGTCTGTTACCTGGCTATTAAAATTAAATTACAAAAGGAATGAAAAGAGAAGGTAGAACACGTAAAAACAGAAGTGACTAGCAAAAAATTCTGGGTTTGCTTGGTTCAGACTTGCAAAGACTTGCCCTCTTATATTTTCATGCTTTCTGACTTTCAAGTAAAAATCTTCAGTAAAAATTGTACAAGCTGTGTCAAGATAGTGAAATCTTGAGGAATAATGGTACTGTATTACTTTTTGTCAGATTATCTGTTCACCTACAAGAAAAGTATCAAACAACTTCCCCTCTCCATCTACTGCTAATAATCTAACTACTGAAAAATAGTGTGCACAAGGGACAGGAGGGGGAGGGGAAGTAACTTGCGCAGTTTTTATGGCTTTGTGGCATTATTTTTTTCTCCACCATTCTATTTTTAAAAGCGTATTTCATCTGGAGTTTTCAGTCCAAGTGCATCTACTTGTGCTCTGCCACATGACAGTTTTTGCCCAGCGTCATCAGAGAACAAAAATAACCAAATATTGGCAAAAAAAGTCCCTTTCTTTTTCCCACTGTGCAATAGAAGGGCATCTGCCTGCTTTCGAGCTTATTTCAAATAAGGACAGTATCTTAAAGATGCTTAAGAAGAAAATACAGGTGTTATTTCAAAGGCATAAATATTTACTGGTATTCCTTATTTCAACCAATCTACATATGCAGTCTCTGAAAAAGTACCTTTCTCTCAGGTCTCTTACATGAAAGGAGAGAGATTTTTCATGAAAGTTTTCCCTTTTCCTCTGAATCAGCTACTGCATCAGCTCTACATGCGTTAGGAATGGGATCACTGAGAACAGTGGGCAAGAGGATGAAAGAACTGTTCTGTGATGACACATTCCCCACCCTTAATGATTCTCTATTCCTGTAAAACTCCAAACACATATTATCCTTTCAATTCCACACATTTATCATTCTTCTCATTGGCTGCTGTGGTTCTGTCCTGTTTAATGACGTTCTTCAATGCTACAGACAGCCCCTAGTGTATACAGTCTCCTGTTAGCATGAAAAAGTTCTCCACAATCTCTGTTCTGATATTTCTTTGTAATTCCATGCTGAGAAGAGAAGCTGTTATTTCTGGTAGACAAAAGAGAGATCTTTTAAGACAGTGACACATTTTGAGAGAACTCTGTAACGATTTAAAAGAAAAAATTATAGAATCATAGAATCCTTAGAGTTGGAAGGAAGCTCTGAGGGCCATCTAGTCCAACTCCCCTGCGATGAACAGGGACATCACAGCTACACCAGGTTGCCCAGGGCCTGATCCAGCCTCACCTTGAAAGTCTCCAGGGACATCAACCATAACACTAGGCAACGTGTTTTAGTGCTTCACCAATCTCACTGTATAAGATTTTTTCCTTATATCTAGCCTGTTATGTATTGTTCAGTTGTCTTTGTCATTGGATGAGAAATGATCTGCTCCTCTTCACAGGAAAAAAAAATAGGAATAAATTTGTTTTTTGCTTGGTGTCAATGCAAAGCCTGTTATTTTCAGCACTGCCCTTTAACTTTTTAGTAGTGCATAAATGTGCTAGATCTAAGGTTACTTTGGCTGCAAGAAACACAGTAGAACTGGTCTTTGAATTATCCTTTCTCCAATATGAGGAACATGTGATTAAATGCAAAAAAGAATAAAAGCTTGCCTATCTTCTTGTACTGTCAGACACAAAAACTTGAGTAAAATAGGATTATAAAAGCTAACATAAATCAAGACGTGTCCCATGTAGACCAGATTAGGATCTTCCTCACCTGACGTACTGTAGATTTGACTACAGATTTTGCACTTCCCAGCATGAGTTCAAGCTTTAGAGCTTTGTCAATTTGTTTATGGTGTGCAGAAAGTTACTGTTTTCAAATAATAAATCAGCAGAAGAAAAAAAATACAGGTTAGTCAAATTCTATGTTGATCCTTTCCTTGCAGGATTTTCTCTAAAACCATATGTTTCTCTAAGTAGGATATATCAAACATAAAAACTCCTTTCAACCTCCCTTGGCTGATCTTTGCAAGTGAAAGAGAGATAGAGCTGATGTACCTGAATTTCTATTTTCCTGAAAAGAGATGTAAGGTGAATTTGTAATAAGGGCCGTAAGCTACAGAACTAACATAATCCAAGAAGCAAACTTCCTTTGAAAAAGAACAGATAATGACTGGTGAAGCCTGAGAGCGCAAGTCTCTGAAGCTGTTCCATCTCTTATGAGACAATGTTCATACCCAAATGGGAAAAAGAGAGAGGAAGGGCCAACATCACAGATCTGAACGCTTGTATGTGGGCATTGCCTCAGCAACGACAGTGAGAAGATAGAAGGGCCAATACCAACTGAATTAATGTTGCAGAAGAGAATTCTGAAACTTGTCAAAATCCAACATAACAGGATGATTGTAATCAGTGTCTTAATTGCGTAAAGGAAAAAAAGCTTCAGACACTGCAAACAGCAAACTTGGAACAACACACCAAAACCCCACGCACAGCGTTCATAATCAATCACAGGAATGACTTCAAAATATTAAGGCAGTGGAATGTAGTATGAAAAACCATTACTAATAGCAGTAACAATTAGAAAAAAACAATGTAATAAAACTCTGTAGTCATCAGGCACTATGCCAGAGGACAAGATGGCCAACAGGCATCTGTCACTTAGCAGCAAACTAGTCATTTACTTCCAGTAAAAGATTAATTATAACTGTGACCTGACTATAACCTGGCAGGTTACAGCAAACAGAATTTGTATAGTAGTAACTTTTTTCCAATCTCTCTCAGTAAAATAAATGCCTGTATTTGATACTCATTTGTCTTCTTTTCTTAAGTGATACACAGAACAGAAAGAAGACCAAACAGCAGTTTCAGCATGATGTTAGAAACACTCTGTCATCAGCATTAAAAAAAAAAAAAAAAAAGCAGCAGCAGCTTTAAAATTTTTTAAAGGAAAGATAAGGTGGCTGCTTATCATACGCATATTTACTCCAGAAACATTAAAAATATTTTTGATATATTTACCTTCAGAATTAAGAAACTGAATGAAACTATATTGTACTTCAAGCTTCCTCCAGACTGTTTTCATCTGTATTTCCACTTCATTAGTTCAAAGGTGGTACTATGGAAACGCATATTTCTATGAATCTGTAAAATAAAAAAAATTTACTTACGAGTTATCCAAAGAAATTGTATTGACAGCTTATAGAACATAACGCAAACTACATATTGAAGATACTGATATCCAAAATAATGGAAGCCATCTGCCATTATGAACTGCTCCTAGAAAAAAATCCAACTTTTTAGACTGTTACACTTCTAGCAGTTGTATAGTTACGTAATATTTGTACTGAAAAGCATTTTCAATTCAGTGTTTTAGGTGACACACGGGTTTGTTGTAGATGATGGGAGATCCTGGGGAGGAGGGATGCTAAAAGTCCCTCTAGGTAGGAAACTTATTCATAGGAAACCTATGTGCCTTCCTCATCTTTGCCAATTACCATCCAGTAACTCCTGGATTCACCTGTCCTCCAGCAATCAGGTTTACAAGCCACTCAGTTTCTCCAATTTTATTTCTAAAACAGATTAGGAGTTGGATGTATTGTTGATGGCGCAAATGGGAAAAAAAAAAAAAGAAATAATGCTCCAATCAACCTTTATTAAACGCTCAAGAATCTTCAGGACTGCAGATTCGCAACAAAAATACACTAGTATGACCCCACTAGTTCCATCACACAAGGAACTCCAGTATTTTGAGAAAGCATCACTAGGTTTATTGAAGTTACACACAAGCATGATTGCTCCTCAGAAGAAAAAGCAAGCCAGAAGTTTGGAAATAAAATACTGAGTTTGATTTTTTGTTCACGTTTGTGAAAAAGCCTAAATCCAAACATGAGCGAAGAGCAAGGGGCAGGATCTCACGCAGCATTCTAACAGTTGAGAGCAAGCCTGACTTGTGTCAATTGGCCCTTGGTTTTCAAACACAACATGAATTTTGGGCTTATCGGCTTTTCTACTTAGATTTCAACTTGAGCATGTGGCACATATTGCCAGCTCTTCCCATTTTATCACATCACAATTTGTGAATGTTTCTTTTCTATCTGAAGCTTTTAGAAACAGCACACAAGAATTTTATCACTAAGAACTTCCAGTCTGCAAATATGACCTCGACAGTAAAACAGAAGCTCAAACATCACTAACACAGATGGTTAAAAATATACAACCAATCCTACAATCTAGTAATTTAATGCCTTATTTTTGAATGTGAAGGCCAACAGCATTAGGAAAAGGGATGGATGAAGCATGCACCCACATGATTTCTAGCAGAGGAAAAGTTTGTGTCCACTTCCTGTTTCCTTTCTAAGCTCCATAAGAACATTATCATCACAAGGTCAAAATACTTCTGTCTCCACGTCCATTTATAAGTACTGCTCCTAACACACTGAGGTTTAATAGTCCTGGTAATGAATAATAAATCTGTGCAAAATGGCAATCTGAAACCACCCTGAGTATCAGATGGCACCAGTTTTTCAAGACAACTGTCTCCACTGAGCAGACAGGCTGACACTTGACAGCTATTTCTTCCATGGCAGAATAGAAAAATACATTCTTGCCATGCAAAGATGCGTTGTATCTGCAAAATAAATCCATCTCTCTCCCTATCTTTAATCAAGATATTCAAGTAAAACCCTCACAACCTCTACAGAGTGCCTGTTAGGTTCTCTGCTCTGGACAGATCTGATTCTCTTACATCACTGGGTAACACGGGCACAGCCTCTTTCATGACTTATTAAATTTGTGTGTCAACATTAAATTCATCGCCTCTTTTTTTTTTTTTAGAGGGCTACAAAAATCTCAGAGGTGAGTGAAGTTAATATTAATTTGAGTGACCTCATTCTGTTACTTTTACACAATCTCTTCATCAGCATGAGATGCTACGTCAGAATGTACTTAACTTTATAAAAAGCAGTGACTTACGTTATTGTTATCCAGAATGCTCAACTGCTAACAGTAGTTTTTCAAAATATTTTATGTCATTCTCAGTGGCATTTTGCAGAAAAACGTCATCAATTACAAATCAAGCTATTTACTAAGTTATTCACAATGCATCTTCACTTCATTAGAACTTTATCTACTGCAGTGACTACAAGAAGCACTAACAGCTTCAAAAGCACATGGGCTCTCAGCACTTCACACTAGTCAATCCAGATTGATTTGGAAATTTTTACAACAGGATTAAATTTGAATTCTTCATACACTACTAACTCAGAACGTCACCACTCAATCTGAAAAAAAAAAGACACCCGAATTACATTAATATACTAATTATAATATACTTGCTAACCCAGATAAGTGTTAATTTGCAGTCACCAGCAGGTCACAGGGAACAGTTAGAATACCCAGCCTGGAAGGACTCCCTGTTGAGTTTTCCACAGCTACCAGTGCCTGAGGGCTGAGGTGGGTTTTCCACCTCGCTTCCTCACACCCTCCCCATGGTCACAGAGGGGAAACCACAGGACGGTACATGGACTGTACTCACTATATCCTTTGAGCGGAGGAGTGCTTACTTCTAATAGCTGAGATTGGTTTGTACAGGTGGGGAGCAAGACACAGCATCTTTGAATTGCTGGAATTCCTGGGACAGCTTCTCCACAGCTGAGACACAGGCCCACAGATAGGAAGAAATACTAATTCTGTTCCCTCCTAGTTCCTTGGGACCTTTGCTGATAGCAGCCCTGGCTCTGTACAATGCAGCAACTATAAACATCAGTGTGTTATCAACATTGTTCTTCTCCTAGAAACTAATCATAGCAGACATCATAGCAGACACTCTAAAGAAAATGATTCCATCCCAGCTAAAACTCAGACACTATCTTGTCAGCTTTCAGCTTTGATATTTAATTTTTATTTTAAATCTTAAATGACCTATTCATCCCCAAAGCATCTTCCTGTAGTTGGGAAAAAGTGAGAATTACCCTTTATTTCAAGGAGAATTAAAAAAGGAACATTTAATATAAGCTAGAAATGTTAGAGTAGATTAAACAATCATCAAGTAGATGAAGGGCTTTGCTATGTGGCTGCTAAAATCCAGTATCTGACAAATCTATAGCTGAATAAACACGCTTGTAGCCCAGAAACAAAGAGGAATGGTCAGTGCAGAGGAAGCCTACAATTCTGGCAGCCTTTACTGCCAGAAACAGGATGCTAAGGAAGGCTCTAACTTTTAACAAAATCTGACTTACCATGAAACTTAGGAAAAGAAGGATGAAGATGGCAAATACTTGCAAAGAAATTTTTGTTATTAAGCTTCTTAAAGTCATGTGCATTTTACATGCAAATTTATGTTTATTTAAGGAACATACGTTTAGAAAAATGTTCATTGAAGTATTAACAGTTACAGTAACTCAACTGCAGTTATGTACATGATCACAGAAGGACTCATTGGTACAGATTATGGGCTAAACACCCCTCAATTAATTCCAGTTTCCAGTTAGATCTTCCCCTTTCTCAACTAATCCAGCCTCCATCATTGCTTCACTTCTGCTGGGTTAACCATTCAACTGGTCACACCTCCGTCCCAATTTCTGAAGCAGAATCTTGTTTTCCTATAAATTGTAAGCATGGGTTTGGTGATATCAGACCAAAAACAAAAATAAAAATAAAAAAATAAAAAACAACAAAACACAAAAAGGAGGCAATAAAATTTATGGAAGTGTGACCAAAGGGGAGAATGGGGAAAGCAGGTGGTGCCAATAACATGTCTGTAAGCAGCGCTGGAGTGACCATGGCTAGTTGACAGTTCTCTTGAACAACAGACAGGAGAGGTCTCAGAAACAGACAGAAACAGAATTATCCATTTTAGGGTAAACCACAGGCAAAAAAAAAAAAAAAAAAAAAAAAAAAAGTTTTTATTAGAAATTTGTGAACACAGAAAATACGCTGCTGGTCCAGACTGAGTGGGAGTACCCTGGAAGATGCTTCATTCTTATGACTGCCACTGGAAAATGTAGCCAGAGCTGCTGTAAGCTATAAACTGATCAAAACAGTGATTACACTGCTATGACAAGTCTAATATAGCTAATATAGCTGTAAAAAGTAGAAATTTTAAAAGCTGCCATACCAAAATTTTGGGTACTATTTCAAAGTTCACATTCAAGGCTATGAATTTCTTAAGGAAATCTTTTTTAGTGTGCGGAAAGCCACAGTAAGCTGGAATAACAAAAACAATACGGCCTGCTGCACACCTGAGGCTTGGTGGTGTTGTCTGTGGAACAACAAAGGTATATATGAACATTCTAGTAAACAAATAGCCCTTTCAAAACATATGGGACCAATACACAAAATGAAGCGATGCTAGGGCTGAACAAACTTAGTGCTCTGCAGCCTGAACATCAGGTAGCAAGATGTTAAAGAGCCTGAAAAATGGTTCAAGCACCTTTATCCAATCCTTGAGAGAAGACAGTTTTTGATCAATCTCCCACTTCAATAAGAATATACCCCCTTGAAAACTAATTTTAAAATTTAATTTTAATAAGCTCCTGAGTGAGGCTGGCCTGTGCAGTATGAGACAGACAGAAAGAGAGACTGAGTTTTATGCCGTGACAAATGTACTCATATATACATCACAAGGCACCGTACCCTTCAGAATTCCTTGTCACACAATGAGTTTTTTATTGGGGTCATGACAAGAATCCAGACATCAACCTCCTGTGATACTGACTCAGATCCATAACAGAAGTCTGCCTTGGCAAAAAGAACAGAAAATTCTACTAGGCTCTTACTTTGTCTGGCAGATGTAATTTCCTACAGTAGAAAGGTTTTAAATCTTCACCTTTCTTAGGAGATCATTACCAGTTCATTCTGGCATAGCTACACCATCTGGAGTCACCCAGAGGACTTAATGGGGCTAATCATCTATAGCTGCTTTGCAAGCAGGCTCCGTGCTCACAGTGAAGTATATCTTTCAGTTGTCTCAAATATTCTTCACTCACAAGTCCAATGAGCCAAGAGCGTGAAAAATCAGCTGATTCTCCAGACTTTGAGACTGAAAGCTATCTGACAGCAGCTTGTTGTTAAATCAAAAGCAGTTCTTCAGTAGGCCATTCCCAAAGGCAATCTCATCAGCTTACAGCATTGGTGACACATCA